ATATTAATAATAATAATAGATGACATTTATATAGCGCTCAATCACGATTAAAGTACACAGGCTCTTAGCGCTTTACAATACAATACAATGTACAACAGGAACATAAAACGTTGTGTTCTGACTTAGAGAAAACCGCTCCAAATACTTATCTTTTTTATTTAAAAACAGAAATAACTCCAGCTGACATTTGAATGAATCAAAAGATTTGATAAGCGTTCCAGATCTTGGGGCCTTGATATTCAAATGCCCTTTCATCCATTGTTTTAAGTTTTATAGATGGTAAAATGTATATGTGGTGTGTTCAGATGTAGGGTTGAATATTGACGATGCTCTTGGGATTTCCTAAAACTGTGATTATCTTCAGACCAACCGGAAGTTTTGGTGCCTACTTATCGCGAACTTAGAATTACAAAGTCCTTTCTGACACTTTTGGCAGTTTCGAGTTACTAAGAACCTGAGGCCAGAAACCAAACGTTCTGTCAGCTCCATCAACATCGTAGGATTATTCGGAGTCGTCATCAGGATATTCAAAAAATAGCATTTAAAAAAGCTTGACATGTGAAACTCAATTTTTTAACGTCAAATTTATCCAAACTAGGCACTGAGCAGACAGAACGTTGTAATTCTGGAACAGTGCTATGGCAGGAAGGAAATGTGCCACAAGAGAAAGTTTTTGGAAGAATTAGAAATTACTCTGGGGTCACTGATTTTTCAAATTGTTGTAACTCTTTCTAACCTCTGTTTGACCCATGATCTGTTTTGTAATTGGCCAAACCTTTGTATGCTTGTTGGTAGGTTTTATTTTTCGTACTTTATTCAAAGCTTTGCTTGGTTGTTAATCTTTTTCACTATATATCAGTCTTTGCTTGATAGAGAATCTTTTCTCTTATCTTTTCCCATCTTTCTTGACTTAATTTTTTTCAAAATTCATTAATAATTGTACTTTTTAAAGAGTAATAATTAATCCCCACCATGTGAAAAAGAACAAAAACATGTAGCTCACTTCGCTCTCTACTTTTTTATGACTGAAAAATGATATACTGTTGAAATAATATTATGTCCCATCTGTGTTGATATTATATGTCCCAATTGTGCTGATATATGTCCCATCTGTGCTGATATATGTCCCGTCTGTGCTGATATATGTCCCATCTGTGCTGATATATGTCCCGTCTGTGCTGATATATGTCCCATCTGTGCTGATGCAATATGTCCCATCTGTGCTGATGCAATATGTCCCATCTGTGCTGATATATGTCCCATCTGTGTTAATGCAATATGTCCCATCTGTGCTAATATATGTCCCAATTGTGCTGATATATGTCCCATCTGTGCTAATGCAATATGTCCCATCTGTGCTGATAAATGTCTCATCTGTGCTGACATATGTTCCATCTGTGTTGATAAATGTCCCATCAGTGTTGATATATGTTCCATCTGTGCTAATGCAAGCTGCCCCAGCTGCTTTCACGAACTCTGTCTACCAGGAACAGTTCTGACTCATTTCGGTCTTTCCTTTTGTTAGACGGTTGTATTGCATACACGCAGCACTGACCCAGAGAACTGGGCAAAGCTTGCACATAGCTGTGATAAGTGGAGATGAATTGTGCGAAAATGTGCGAGACAAAGACATGCGACTTTTGAAGAAAAGTAAAATGAGAGGAAACAAAGACAAAGAAACGGAAAGTCGGGTTACGTACATCTCGTAAATCGAAGTATCGTGTGCTCAGAATGAACCAGAGTCTGCTGCCTGTCTTTCCGTCGCGGGATGAACTAGCCATGAATGACGCTGTGTATGCGAGAGAGCTGCGGCTGAAAAGTCACCAACTACAAACTGTAAAACTGTTCACGACCGTCTGTTACAGACTTATAGAGCCATCATAATTGCTTACCCGAAACTGGTTATATGTTCCCGATACCTTCATCTTTAATCTAGGGGGGGGGTGTAGGGTGGGGGGGTTAGGGTATGTTACTAGAATCATTCTTAAATCGTCACTTTTGTTTTGGCCTCTGATTAGACTGTTGATAAATCGTTCTCCTTTTTTGTTAAATCTACTTATTCATATCCTTTTTTTTTTCTTTGTGCTTCTGTTTCTTTATAAATTCAAACCCTTGTTTCAACTGTTACTTTATCTATTCGTTTTTTTTATTTGTTGTTTTTCTTTTTTGTTACATTTTTAACTGTGAATCTTTAGATTTGGGGGAGAGGGGTGTTTTTCTTTGGTTTCCATTTTTGTTTTTACTTTTTGTCCAAAAGGGTATAAGCGGCGTATAAAAGTAAGGATAAAAGTAAACTTTTTAGATTTTGTTTTTACCTTTTTTGTTTTGGTTACTTGTTCGAACCATTGTCTGATGTTAAGATCGTTTTTGTGTTTTTTCCTTTCTCATTCCAACTTTTGCCAGGTCGCTGACGTTTTTGTGACATTTTCCAACTTTCACTTAATGGGGGATGTACATGATACGAGGAAAATTGTCATTTTGTTTTTGTTACTCATCCGAACCCTTCTGTAAAGAGAGGAAAAGAACATGAATTCATAACTCACTTCCCTTTACGCTTTCCCGTGATGCGATGCTTGTATTGCATACACGGTAAGCCGTGATTGCATACCATAGGATCGTTTCCGAGATGTCTTCACGATGTCTTGTCTAGCTGAGTTATTTGTCATCCATTTCACACTCTGCTTTTATGATAATTGTGTTGCATACTATTGATATAAGCCCCAAAAATAAATGTTCTCTGTGTTTTATTTTTTACATTCCTTTATTTTTTTTTCACGAGTTGTATCAAACCTGCTTGTCTGTCTTTTTTCAAGTTTATCTTTTCTGGTTTAATAAAGTAATACAAAGTCATGTGTTTGTATACGACCACTGTTGACAACAATTATTCCGTTCACATTGATCTACGTTGTTTGGTTCCAACTGAACTCCAGTTCCTTGTCATTTTTTTGTGTTATCATTAAAAAAGATGAAATCTACTCTTTCAAAAGATGAGCCAAAACTAGATCTAGTTGATTAGAATTAATCGTGATTATCTCTCTCTCTCTCTCTTTCTCTCT